TTAGGCCTATCTTAACGTATGGAAGTCCAGTCTTCTGTTCAATGGCTGACACGCACTTTAAGAAAATCCAAATAATGCAGAACAAGTGTCTGAGGCTGGCGTTGGGGTATAACCGCTATGCTAGAATACAAGAGATGCATATGCAAACATCAATGGAGCCTGTCAAAGATCATATCTTAAGATTAGCCGAAAAATTCTATAAAAATTGCCTACCAGACACGCTAAAGGAGGATATACTCGCTATGCATCATAATGACGGCGCAAACAGGGTTCACGGATGTTTGCATAAAGCACTCAAAATTTATAAACGAGACTAAATACAGCCTTCAGCTACCGACAGGACGTGGACTGGGCGCTGCTACTAACTGACTCACAGCAGCGAATCGAATGAATGAATAGTTTATTTACAATATTTACATATGTACAATTTACATCTATATCTACATGTACGTATTTCGTATTACTTCGCCCCTGTCCTCCAGCCTGGGCAGGAGAAATATGGGCGTCGTATCGACCCGCAATCATGAATATAGTATGTTTTAACGTTTATTGGGCTTTACTATGTCATCTCCTTATTCCGAAAAATATTATAAGACAGTTATGAATATTTAGTTAGCGTCGGTAATGGAACTTTTTGTAATAGTTTTGTCTGTTGTTAGTTATGTATTTATTTCCCTGAAAAAGGCTAAGAAAAAACAGGGTTGTCTTTATATGTCGGTTTGTCCGTATAGTTAATGGCTAATTTGTCCTAATTCGTGGATTACACGGTGCTACCGTCCATCTAGGCAGCGAAGAAATTCGCCGATTCGATTTTCGATTCACCGTGCAGTCCGCCGTCCGACCAGATTTTACGGCTAGTCGGCTTGAATTAGGACAATTAGTATTGTTGTCGCAGGGGAAAGTCTGTATATGTTTGTGTGTGTATTACGTCTCAAACTTGTCTGTAAATTGTCAGTGCTTTATGGAGACATCCATGCTTCCTATGCGCACTGTTTGCCTCATTGATGTTAAGTATGTCTTCCTTTATGTTTGGAGGAAGACTATTTTTGTAGAATCTCTCTGAGATGTTTAATATGTATTCTCTAATAGTTGGCATGGATGCCTCTCTGTGCATGTCCGTTATCCTGGAATAGCGGAGCCATCCCAGGGACCGCCTCAGACAACTGTTCTGTACTACCTGGAGCTTATTGAAGTGACTTTCTGTCATGGAACAGAAGGCTTGGCACCCATAAGTTAATATTGGCCTTATTACTTGTCGGTATAGTAATATTTTGTTGTCGCGACTTAGGTGGTTACCACGTCTAAATAGTGGGTACAAAGTTCTTATGGCAGTATTGGCTTTTGCCACCCTATCCTCTATATGTTTACTGAATGTCAATTCCCTATCCAGACGCACACCTAGATATTTAATTGAATGCTGAGATTCGATTACCTGATCTCCGATCTTAAGCTTATTGTGTATTAATCGCGCTCTGCCTGTTCGCTTTTTCGTGAGCATCAGGCTCTCGGATTTCGCAGCATTCAATCTCATCTTGTTGGCGTCCAGATACGGAATAAACGTTCTGTTTATGTGTATATCAAGCCTCCTGTTCGCGACTTCAGCCAGCTCCGAAGTTTTGTACACACAGGTATCGTCAGCGTACAGTGCCGTCTGTACACCATTAGTACCCATGGGCATATCATGGGTCATAATCGTGTACAGATGCGGCGAAAGTACTGAACCCTGAGGTACCCCCGCCATTGCATTGAATGGTCCTGTGATTGTATCGTTGATTTTAATGTTAAAGGTTCTGTCCTGTAGGTATGATTGGATCGTTTTTACAATATAAACAGGAAATTCATTTATAAACATTTTGTAGATAAGTCCACAGGTCCAGACGGTATCAAAGGCCTTCTCTGTGTCTAAGGCGACCAGTACGGTTACTTTTTGATTATTAAAGGCTTCTTTTGCCTGATGGGCAATTCTGATCACTTGTGCAACCGTACCGTGTCCTTCGCGGAAACCGTACTGTTCCTGTGGAATTATTTGTTTGTCGTTTTCAATTAAGCGTAATTTGTTTAATATTATCATGTCTATTGTTTTCGTCAGTGAGTTAAGAAGGGATATGGGACGGTAGCTCTCAATATTTTTCGCGGCTTTCCCGGGCTTTTTGATAGGTATTATATTTGCAGCTTTAAGTTGTTTAGGATAGTGCTGCAATTTAAATAATGAATTTATGATGTGGTGCAGCTGCACGACCGCTTTTTTGGGTATATTTTTGAGCATGAGTCCAGATATCCCGTCTGGACCCGGTGCCTTCCTATTTTTCAGTTTACTAATGACCGCTTTTACCTCGTTCGGCGTAACCCTCTGATTTGCCGGTACGTTTGCTCTGGGGAGGAGCTTAATGTCCTCTACTATGTCCTCTATATTTTGTTGCTCTGGGTTATTTGCGTTATTGTTTTTAAAATTGTTTTCGAAATAAGTTCCAAACGCTACCCCTTTTTGTGTGTCTGTTATGTATTGTGCGTTATTGTCCTCGAGTGTGGGAAGCCGCATAACCGGTTTCTTATACCGCTTTGCAACTTTCCACACTGAGTTGTCTTGTGGTGTAAGTTCTCGTAGTATGTCGGCCCATTTTTTGTTTTTTAGGTCTCGTAATGCAGCGTTGATTGTTTTGGATATGTCAAATAGTCTAATTCTGTCGTCCCTTTGTCTGTACTGTTGCCAACGTCTGCGTATGTAGTTTTTTGTGTTGATCATGTCCTGTATTTCTGTAGTTATGTTTTCGTGGTGTAATTTGACTTTTTTGATTTTTGTTGTATCGTCCCTTGCTTTTATTATGATTTTTGTCAGTTTGTCTACTTCATTGTCCAGTTCATCAGTAGTCGTAATGTTGTTGTTAATTACTATGTTTTTGTCTATGATTTCCCTGTATTTTACCCAGTTTGTTGTTTTGTGGTCGTAGTATTGTCCGTCTTGTCTCTGTATGTTCTTTTTCGTCCTGATTTCTAAGTAAACTGGGTCGTGGTCCGAGTTTAGTGTTGTAATTGTTGTTATGTTATGTATGCTGTCGATGTTTTTTGTCAGAGCAATGTCTAAGGTACTAGGTGTTTGTCCACTAAAGGGGTAGAACGTTGGTTCATCAGTATAATGTATCAGGCAATCGTGTGTGTCAGCAAATTCGCTGAGAGTGTTGCCGTTTTTATTATTTTTTGAGCAGTTTGCGTCCCACTCTTTATTTTTGGCGTTCCAATCCCCCATTGCTATTACTTTCTCCCCAGCGGCCATCAGGTTATAAAGATCAATATTATTAAAATGATTGAGTGGTTTATTGTATAGCGAGAATTACACTGAACAGCCAAATCCCGAAGCCGACTAGCTATCAACTCTAGTCGGACGGAAGACTGCACGGTGACGTCACTATGCGATGCTGAATTTGCGGCTCTCGCCTCGAATTCGATATCGAGCAGGGACTTTACTGTGTAGTCTATTGATTTGGCTTTCTCACGTACGTAAACTAAAACGAGACATACTCACACACAAGGACAACCCTGTTTTTTCATATTGTTTTTCAGGGAAGACAGACATAAGTAAAATCAGACAAAAACTCTATCATCCTTCAAGTACCGATCTAGCTAGTAGCCAAAACTGATGTATAATGTTTTTAACAAGGAGATATCACAAAAATCATAACAAAAATAGATAATTAATAAACCGCGAGGCCACAACATCGGTCATGGTCCTGTTGGGATCATCACAGAAGAGGAATACTTCCAGGAAGCCTTCAGGAAGAAATCCCCCTGTAATATGTGTTTATTATATTATTTAAACTCTGTAAATATGTAAATAGAAATAAATGATTTTGAAACTGAAAACTGAAACTGAACGGCCGAGGGTAAAGAAAAAAAAGAAGAAGAAGCCGAGGGTAAGGAGTCAACTCTGTATCCAACAAAAGGACAAACGTCTACAGGTTGTGAAGGCAGAAGACCAGCCAAGAATCGACAAGATTCGACGAAGAATGATTCATTTTTCGTACTTTTCTGAATTTGTAGATGTACAATGTATATATTTATGTAAATAAAGAATTTTAAAAGTAAAAGTACGGCCGAGGGCGACTCCGGCCTCGACTGTGGCCCTTTCGGGTTGTTTTATAGGGCAGATGTCCTGTGAATTGTTACAATAACAACAGACTATCGAAAGACCAACGTACACTGCTGACAACCCTGTTTTTTCCTAGCTTTTTCAGGGGACAAAGACCAAATTAATCCACGACAAATCTTTAAACTATGACAATTACTGACTACAAAATAATCACAATCCCTCAATAATGCCTATCTGGCAAGGAGTGAGGGCTGCTATGTTTAGCCTAATCTTACCTTTTAGCAACAGAAGATAAAATCGGCGAAAGTATCGCCATAGACTCGGCAGGAACCTGCTGCGTCGACACAAAACCCCCGGTTTTGAGTATAGAATTTTATTTTATGTTGTATATATTTGTATTGTATTATTTTGGAAATAAAGATTTCAAATGTAATGTAACCATCAGAAAAATAATGAAATATATCACACTTTAAAATATTGTTTAGTTTTTTTTGAAAGCTTGGTTTAAAATTACATAGATTTTTTTATGAAAACACAATTGTGTGGTATATCACGTGACATTGCGAAAAGTTACAAAGGTAAAATCATTTTTAAGTATCTTCTTTTAAATATTTTGTAAAAAAAATTGCGAAACTTACCAAATAAACAGTTTTCGAGATATGGCCAAACGCCGCCATTAACGTTTATGTATAGTTATGCTTAAAACTAAATCAAGCTGTATAAACCCACAGTTATTCTGTTGAATTTTCTAAATGGAAACCCCCCTACATAATTAAATATTAATTGTATTATTAATATATTAATAACAGGTTGTTTCTTAAAAAATAAAAACTTAAAAAGCGTTTAAATGTGCTTTGAAACGTTTCGCAATTCGTTTCTGCAACAACCAGCTCAACAAAAAAGTTTTTATTTTTAGATGAGGGCATTGATGATAATGTCTTTCAATTACTAGATGAAGAACGAATAAGGCATCTTATTCCAAAAATGGGTACACGCTTAAATTTAAAAAAAAATTTCGAGGAATTTTGTATGACCAAAGAAAATACCATGGTAAAATTGATAGATTTATTACCAAAATTTGACACCGAATGGTTTTCGAGTAAACTTCCATTCCCAGAGCTTCGGATTAAAAATAAACCCTTATTGTATCTTAAAAAAAATATATAACATTTTAGCTTTAGGTGAATTTTCCATTTTAATTTGAATCGCTCCATGTTAAAAGGGCGTATGTCCAATGCTATTTTTACGAAGAATACGCCCGTTTGGAAAGGAAAGATTCAATTGTATTTTGTATTTTATGCGTGCTAAGCTTTTAAAATAAACAGTTTTTCTTTATTTTTTTTTATTTTGTCATTCCTTTTATGAAAAATTGATTGAAGGTTTTCCAAACGAAAAAATTAAACAAATCGATTTATTTAGCTGAAATTGGTTTAATTTAGTGTAAGTATTTTTCTATGAAGCAAAAGATAAAAGAGTTTATTTTTCGAGTTCCTGAGAAAAAATGTACCTTTGTTTAACCTATTTCAGCCTTTAATATGAATTATATTTTGGTAAAACAGTTTTACCATGATAGTAAAACGTTATTACTATAATAGTAAACCCGTATTACTGTAGTTGTAACGTATTATTACTGTAACTGTACAACAATTTTACTATAGTGACAAAATATTATTACTGTAGCAGTAAAACAGTTTTGCTAAATTGGTAAGACATTATTACAGTAACAGTAATACCGTTTAACTGTAGTAGTAAGACAATATTACTGTTACAATATAGCAGTTTTACTAGAGTGGTAAGATATTATTACTCTAACAGTGAAATCGTTTTACTAGAGTGGTAAGAAATTATTACTGCAGCATTCGAGCAGATTTACCAAAGCAGTAAGACAGTATTACTGCAGCATTACAACTAGATGTTACATATGGTAATCCTAGATATTGGTGATAGTTATACAATTTTACTGTACCCCCAAAGGAAAATTTACTACCTCCGTAATAATATAGTTTTACTGCCGCAATCGAATAAATTTTTAGTAATCTAAATATTAGTAAATCTTGTATTTTTTTTTTTTTTTCGGTGTGAAAACATGATTAAATCGATTTATGCGCATCTCGTGCGTCGCAACTCGGGCGGAATACTTAATTTTTCGCATTTCGGGCGTAAGGCTACAGGTAGATTAAATACCCTTCGCAACTCGGGCGTTCAAGGATCGGTACCAAAAAATTGATAAAATTTTGATAAAACTAATAATAAAAAAGTTTTCCATATGTAGCCAACTTAGGTAGAATATTAAGTTGGGTATGTTGTAAATGGCCAAGACTTAAAAAATTTCTCATTTGTAAGAAGAGGAAGAAGATGGGTTATGTTGTAGTCATTTTATTTTAAGTAATATAATTTTATTTCATCCTATATCCAGAGACAACCATATATTCTAAATAATTGGAAATTTGCGTCTGTTGTTGGATACATTTGTGAAATATAAGTATGTTATATTTCTGATAGGTTTCAAATTATTATTTATAAAATATATAAAATATTACATTTACAGGATATTTTTACATTTTAGGAACGTTTCAGAAATGTTTCTGGGGCGTTTCGTAATATTTATATATTACAAATATTTCAGTGTTACATTCTTGAAATATTTACTGTGGTTTTGTGCTATGTGGGTTTATAGAGGGTTGTTTTTCTATTTTAAAAAATGTATCTGTAATTTACCCTTGGAAAATAAGATTGTTCAAATAAAAGTTGCTTGTGATATTATTCTCTTAAAATTTTATGATGTTCATGAATTTCTTAAAATGGTCCGTATTCGAGAAATTTGATAAAAAGTGCAAAATTCGAATTTTAAAGAAAATTCTTCAAATAAAAGTTGCTTACAATATAATACTCTATAATTTTTGTTTCATACATTTTTCTAAAATGGACCGAATTTGGGAAATTTGAGGTAAAGTGCAAAATTTTTCTCATTATTTTCACTTATAATACCACTAGTGACCAAATTATTTTCGGAAATATTTTAGAAATCGCGAATATTTTGATAATGATCTCTATAATTTTTATTCTACACATAATTTCTCTAAAATAAACCGAAATGGAAAAATCATCAACTAACTTTTCAGTGCTCACTATCTGTTAAAAACAAAGCTTGTTCTGCGATGTCATTCACTTCTCTTAAATTTTTGATAATTTATTACTACCTGAATCAGACTGTAATCAGAATCAGGGTACATAAACTATGGTCAAATTTCATATCCCATCGACGCCCGAGTTGCGAACTCACAGGTACACAATTTTGAAGGGCGCCCGAGTTGCGACGAATTCAGGTAGTTTTATATTACGCCCGAGTTGCTAACGCACGAGTTGAGAAAGTACCATTAAATCTAAACAAAAACTTTTATTAGGCCGATCAGATTAATTAAAATTTTCATTTTAACTACAAATAAGCATTAATTACTGTAATTCTTTCTTCTCTAGGCTATAAGGCCTGATGATGACTATTGGGTTGAAATACCAGTTGCCAATATTTAAAAAAAAAGTATTATTAAATTGGTGTAGTAAAGATTTTCAGTATTAATATATGTATAAAGATGACCAAATTTGAGCAATTAAATATCCTCCACGATTTATATTTATCCTAACAATTGTTAAGGCGTTTTTCCAGCAAACACAAATACGTATATAAGACGTACTATATACGTACTGATAGGACGTAAAGTACGTACTATGTACGTACTTTATTGTACGAAGTACGTACATAATACGTACATAATACGTACATAATACGTACATAATGCGTACATAATACGTACATAATACGTACATAATACGTACATAATACGTACATAATACGTACATAATACGTACATAATACGTACATAATACGTACATAATACGTACATAATACGTACATAATACGTACATAATACGTACATAATACGTACATAATACGTACATAATACGTACATAATACGTACATAATACGTACATAATACGTACATAATACGTACATAATACGTACATAATTCGTACATAATACGTACATAATACGTACATAATACGTACATAATACGTACATAATACGTACATAATACGTACATAATACGTACATAATACGTACATAATACTTACATAATACGTACATAATACGTACATGATACTTACATAATACGTACATAATACGTACATAATACGTACATAATACGTACATAATACGTACATAATACGTACATAATACGTACATAATACGTACATAATACGTACATAATACGTACATAATACGTACATAATACGTACATAATACGTACATAATACGTACATAATACGTACATAATACGTACATAATACGTACATAATACGTACATAATACGTACATAATACGTACATAATACTTACATAATACGTACATAATACGTACATGATACTTACATAATACGTACATAATACGTACATAATACGTACATAATACGTACATAATACGTACATAATACGTACATAATACGTACATAATACGTACATAATACGTACATAATACGTACATAATACGTACATAATACGTACATAATACGTACATAATACGTACATAATACGTACATAATACGTACATAATACGTACATAATACGTACATAATACGTACATAATACGTACATAATACGTACATAATACGTACATAAAACGTACATAATACGTACATAATACGTACATAATACGTACATAATACTTACATAATACGTACATAATACGTACATAATACGTACATAATACGTACATAATACGTACATAATACGTACATAATAAGTACATAATAAGTACATAATACATACATTGCCCAAACGACGGTACGTACCTAGTATATACTTAAAGTACGTACTCTGTACGCACCTAATGTACGTACTGTGTACGTACTTAATGTACATACTAAGTACGTACTATGTTTGTACTTATTCCAATAGAGTGCATATTCTAGACGTACTTTACATCCCTATTGGTACTTACTTATGATGTATAATGTACGTATTAGTGCAATAAAAAGAAAAATAAACAAGTTAATTTGTATTTATTTAATTTTTTACATTAAAAGAATAATTTAATTTGGTTTGATATGTTTTTTGAAAGTTTTTAGAATATCATCAGCTCTTCTTAACCATCTCACAATTTCCTGTTCTACAAACTTATTCTCTTTGCATTTGCTACTTTTTATAGCACCTTCTGCAAAGAAATAATATCAAATTAGAAACTTTACTTGGGTACTTTTTATAATAAATAATATAATAAAAATAATATAACAAAAAGATATAGAGTAAAGCAAGCGATAGTTTCTTCGGCTCAAAATTATCATTGTCAATATACTCCTGAATCTAAACCTCTCTCATTTGTATCCACCTGTTTTGACATTATGCCTTTGAAATCCAATTCTTTCCTGCTACTGCTCTATAATATCGGAACTCCTATATTTCTTTTTGTTAAGCTAGATCTCCGTCAGTTTTGAAGTCCAATGGTTGGAAGTACACAATTTCATTAGATACAAAAATAATTGTGTCTGGATAGAGGGTTTTTAATGCAACGACTTTATGGAAACTGGCATGCAATAATAAAAAATCAAAATATCTTACCCACTACAACTGCAGCCAATTATAATTTGTTGCCAGCTAATTAGTTATTAAGATAGCAGCCATACTCCTTTTGACAAAATCCTAAAGTAAATTAAAAGGGTCTGCAAAATATCACTTCTTTTGTCTAAAATATTAGATACCTCCTGTTTATTCATTTCCTAAAACTTTTTCAATTGTTTTGTAATATTTTTTGTAATGTTTACTATGGGATGGGATGGGATGACATATCTATAAATTATATTTATTACACATAATTTTTAAAATTAAAATGAAACCACTCACGAGAATAAAATGACGAAACTATGTACTTACAACACGCACTAACTTAAAAGTCTAAAGAACTGTCTTGTTTAATTATAATAAATTATACATATTTATTTATTTAATGAAATACTTAATAGTTTAATCCTTAAACATAAAAAAAGTAACAAAAACAAACTGTTGAAACCGTTGAAACGTTTAGTTTAGAGTTTAGGTTAGGTTAAATAAATTGGGTTTCTTTCTTCTTTGCATTTTTTGGCCTATGGTCAACAGAAATTTGGTAAAAACATAGG